GGGTCTTTCCACTGTTTCATGTTAGTCAGTAGCCTCTGTACCCAATGAGGTCTGCCAATCGCTCCTCCAAAGAAAAATTAACCAAAGGGACAGTTATGTCCATGCAATGCAAAAACCTCTTATGCTCTTCTTCCCTTCTAGAGTCTCAGTCCATCAGAGGACTCTGATGCCATGTTCTATCCTCAGCTACTTGTACAATGTGCACTCATGGTAGCTACTCAATAAACATATCTGAAATGAACCAACATGGGGTGAAGTGTTATATGTCTAATTGACTATGTCGCACATTATATATAATAAATGCTTGCTGCCTTGGATTGAATATTGAATAAAACCAAAGTGTTTTAAGGACCTCTCTCCCTCTCCTTGTCCATGGCTCTTTGGTTCTCTCAATGCCCACCACCATCATAGGTACAAAGAAACCTTAGATGAACCCAAGATGGCTGCTTGGGTTGACACAATCATGGGACCTCAGAGTAGGAATTGCTCCTGTGATTATTTAATTACACCATTCGCCTTGGAACTCTTTCTGAAAAAATTACTGATAATTAGATATTAGCCTCTTTTGGCATTGATTCACCTATTTCCTCCTAAGGCCATGTTTCTATCACCAAACAACTCAAATATATAGATTAAAAACAAGATACATTCCCTTACATTGTCACTCACTGGCTTCAATTTTAATATAGAGTGAGGTTAACTATGCAGAGCTGTGATACAATAGAACAGAGCAAGAACAAATTGTTACATCGGTGATCTACTGATTTGTATCATTTTTATTTACCAGTCAGTAGATACACATGGATAGCTCTTCCCCTATAATGTTCAATCAGTTACAGAATGATGACAGTGTAGGATATGAATATGATTAGGAAGGAAACCAGTTTTAGGAGGTATAACTGAACAACATAGATTTCATACACAAAGGAATATCACGAACCCCCAATGTTCCCTTTAAATATTGTAGGTTGTCAAGAGACAACCGTGAGAAGATAATGCAGGATGAGTAATAAACTAAGAAGTCTGAATGTGTGTGTGTGTGTGTGTGTGTGTGTATTCTGCTATAGTCAAGTGATGTAACAAATCTTACAGCAAAGTCACTATGACCCTTATGATGTGCATAATCATTACTGAGCTACATGGTAAGCAGGCCCAGATGGAAAGCACTTTACATTAGGGCAGGTTTCAGTACTGGAGTGGGCAGTACAATGCTTTGTTTAGGATGCCAGGAACAGATGGAAATAAACAAAGTCATAATGCCATAGAAGCTAACAGTAAGACTAGTAATAATAATTATGTAATGGGAAAAGAGGAAGGCCCCAAAGTCCCCAAATTATCTCCCCTGTCAACCTGGGATGGCTGAAATTACTTTGAGGATAGCTTTCATCATAATTATAGATTGAAGAGTTAGTCCTATGATGGAAATGAGCTATACCAGTATCTGAAACATCAGATTTTTTCCACTTTGATAGAAGGTCATAGTACCAAAGGACACCGAGTTCTGAAAAAGGGAAATGCAAATGACCAGGAGAAACATTTTATAAACTGATCAATTGCAATCAATTGTCCTCACCCTTGAAGTGCTTTCTTCATTTGGCTTCCAGGACACCATTCTCTGGATTTTCCATCTATAGCTTTAACACTTTTATCTCAGTCTCATTAGTTAACTCTTATCTCCTTGGCCACCAAACATTGAAATTTTATAAAGCACAATCCTATCAATTTATTATTTCTTTCCAAATTCATTTCCTTGATAATCTCAACCATTCTAGTGATTTTTAAGTAAGATCTATTTGCTGACTACTTTCAAACTGTATCTCAAGTTTGGAATTCTTTCTCAATTCCAGGTTCATATACCCAATTGCCTTCATGATAATCCCACTTGAATATCCAAAAGGGATTTCAAGTTTAATATGTCCAGTATGAATTCTTGATTTTCCTTTTAGATCTGCTCATCCTGAAGTCTTCCCCATCTTCATTTGGAATCATTATTGACTCCTCTATCTTTCTTATACCTCATATCCAATCCATAAGCAAATTCCCTTGGCTCTCTTCAAAATACACCCAGATCTTATTCCCTTTCACAATCCCCACTGCCATCACCCAAACTACACCCTTAGTCAAACTGTTGCATTAACTTTCTAACGATCCTCCCTTCCTTAAACCTCTATAAGCTGGTCTTACAGAAACCAGGGTGAAACTGTTCAACCACATGATATGTTCAAAATCTTTCAATGGTTTTCCATTTCATTCAGAGTAAAAACCAAATTCTTATAATTACCTATTCTTGGACCTAAAGCCCTGTTACCCTCCCCCCCTTGCTCTGTATGTCACCCCCTCACTCACTCCTACTCCACCCATTTGCTGTTCTTAGAACATTCCAGACACATCTCTCCTTTAATGCTGTCACACTCGACTTTCTGCCTGGAACATTTTTCCTCCAAATCTTGAAGGGCTTACGCCCTTTCTTCTTCAAGTCTTTGCTCAGATTTCACCAATGAGTCTTTTCTGAACACCTTATTTTCTGAAAACCCTCTCTCATAGCACTTAACACTTTTAAAGCATCTATGTACACTGTTTATTTAATAGGCTTAGTGTCTAGTTCCCTTAACTAGAATAACATAGATAAACGTGGGTAAGAATGTTAGTGTCTTTTGTTAGTGATGAATCCTCAGCTCCTAGAATAACACCTGGAACATAGCAGGCACTGGTAATTATTATTTGAATGGAGGAATGTGCATTTAAAAAGTCTGTAAAGAAACTGACTGAAACATTAATGGTACTTCATTCTACATAGGGAGATTAAGTCCATATTCTGCTTTATGTTTTTTTCTGAATTTTCTAAACATTCTACATTGAATATATATTACTTTTTTAACCTAAAAAACCCTTACGATGCAAAATATTTACGTATTAAAATATTCAACTGAGACTGGAAGCACAGAAGTGCTTTAGCATGTAGCTTATGTAAGAGACTCAAGGTTTTACCCCAGAAACTGTCACTGGCTAGCACTGTGAATTGGAAAAATCACCTAAAGTGGCTCATTATTCTTTAAAGTAAAATAAACTGGTTGGATTAGATTTTAGGGCCCCTTGAACTTTAAAATGTATATTATTCTTGTGTAATACTATATTCTCTGGCTACTGAGACAATTCCAATTTAAAAATAAAATTCACCTTTAATCCTCATTCCTTAAAATATTTTGATGTTTGGAATAGATGTAATTCGATCACTATTTCCTTACTCTAACAGTACCTTTCTTAAAACAGATCCACAGGTATTACTCAAATGGCTTAATGTAATGCTTACATTACAGGTGAATGGACTGAGTTTTGGAACAATTTGATAAAATGTGCAAGAGCTGTCATAATAGGGCTGAGACAAATCTCAGGTCCTTTATTAGTTAAATGAACCTTCTTATTACCTCCACATTACTCTTGGTTTGGAGCTCTGAAGAATAAATGCTAATGCCTTAGTTTACATAGATAAGTAATTTCTTGGAGGAAAGAAGATATTTCTTGAATATATCTGTAACATCCAAAAATATATGACAGTAACAGTGGAGCAAGTAAGAGAGCTGGCTCTGGACTCAGGCTGTCTCACCAACTGTGAGACCTTGAGCAAATTACTTCACATTTTTCTTAATCAGTATCTTCGTCTGTAGGATAATCAGAGTACTAATTCACAAATTAATTGAAACATTAAGTATAAGATGCCTATCATATTTGGAAGCCATAAAGTGGTATTATTATTTAGCCTTCATTGTTTTATTCAAAGTTAGAAATAAATTTGAAGGACAGTTAGTTGTATAGTGTATCATAGTGTGAGGTTAAATTAATGTTGGAAATTTTGAGTATCTAATATTACCTAGCATTCAAAATATATAGTATTTTAAAATACTGTCATCTTACAACCAGCATGTTTTCCATGTCTTGCTCAAAAACTAAAGAATACCACGTATATGTAAATACTGATGCAGTGCTGTAACTGTATCATCCTAGGGCTACTTATGTCCAAATGAATTTATTGCCACTCAAGGGCCGTTACCAGGAACAGTTGGCGATTTTTGGAGAATGGTGTGGGAAACCAGAGCGAAAACATTAGTAATGCTAACGCAGTGTTTTGAAAAAGGGCGGGTAAGTTACTTGAAAATCTTTTCACAAAATATTATTTTACAATTAAGTTAATATACATGTGATGATTTCAGCTAATACTTTGAGTCATCAATGACTTGAACATCTATAAGACAGCTTTAACTCAGTAGCGATAACTGTGATATATTGATATATATATAAAACAATGGTTCTTATGACTGGTGATTTTCTCTGAATACAGATCAGATGCCATCAGTATTGGCCAGAGGACAACAAACCCGTCACTGTCTTCGGCGATATAGTGATTACAAAGCTAATGGAGGATGTTCAGATAGATTGGACCATCAGAGATCTGAAAATTGAAAGGGTAAAAAAAAAAAAAAAAAGGAGGGGAAGTCAAACATGACAGAAAATATGAATGTTCTAAATGTCTAAAGGACAATTTCTGGAAGTATTCCTTGATACTATATATTCAATAATGCTTTTCTATTATTTTCTAAAAAGAAGTTTTGAATTGGCATCTGCCTTCAATATGTATGTCACTGTTAAAATTCCCAATTACATAAAGTGTATATTAACCAGTTAATATCAAAGTCTTCAGCAGACAAGGGAAGAAAGCAGGAAGCAACTAGATCACTAAGTGTATCATTGAAGAAACTATAATATTTGACTTAACACAGGAATTCCCCAAATCACTTGTCTCTATCTGCATCCTGATAATTGGATTTTCTGTTTAATCCAGAACCAGTACAGAAGTGACAGCATAGGATCCCACTTATATTAGACAAACACCTATCCACAAAGAAAATGATAAAAGGATCTTTATACTTTCTGACATTATCAAATGCTCAATACCTGTGCTTTGAATAATTAGTGAATGTGTTTATTTAAGCTCTTAGGTCAGAACTGTTCAAAATCTACTATTCTGGAGCTGCAAAATGTTACCCCACATTTGAATATAAATACCCTACATTAACATCTGTTTGCAAGCCTTCTCACGGTTTCCACTCACACCAAAAGACAGTCTTCTTTATCATAGCACCAGTAGAAGGCTTCTCTTAGAGAAAATCATGAAAACTCAGTTTCTTCTGTTTGGTAAATAGTCATTTTGATCACCTTGGAAAGCTGGGAACTTCAGTCTTGACTGTGGTACTTAAATCACGTGATTATGCTCCTTTACGCCCTCACGTTGTCTAGCACGGGGACTGCGTGACCATTCGACAGTGCAACTTCACTGCTTGGCCCGAGCACGGGGTGCCTGAGAGCAGCGCCCCTCTAGTTCACTTTGTGAAGCTGGTTCGAGCAAGCAGAGCTCATGACACCACACCTATGGTTGTTCACTGCAGGTAAGAAAGATATTTTGAGAAACCCTAGAAATGGTCTTTAAACTCAATGTGACCTTTCTACTATCACGATACCATTGATTATGTGCTGGCAGAATGTTCATGTAGATTCAATCCAGCTTTTAGTTTTCAGATACTTTACTGGTTATGACAAATCAAGATGTAGCTTTATAAAAGGTTAGATGGCAGAAATAAAATGAGTAATGAATGTGTCTAAACGCAAGGGAAAATATATATCCTGGTACAGAAATTTTCCCGAAAACTTGACTGAGTTATACTTCTCAAAGGACTTGACTTTAAAAAATTATAGCCCATCATTGATGTGTGGGTGTGTAGGATTTTATGAATGAACATCTGATCTTTTATTTTTTTCAATTGCTATTAGTCTACTACACTTTAAACCTTTTTAGAAAAGCAAATTTCTAGATATGAGTTTCAAAGAATAAATAAAAGAAAATGAACTTTAAAATGAAGATCAAATTCAGTGACCAACCCAAGCATGGTTCCAAATTTTTACAAACTTAACTGCTCAGATGTCTTTCTTTGACCTAGATCTTTGAACATGATAAATAGAATATGCCTATAAATTAAGATTTTTTTGCCCTTTTTATTTTCATTGGTATTTTATACCAGTGAAATACCAATATTCCCCCTACAATAGAAATAAAACTCAGCTGTTTAGCATTCAGAGTTCTAGATATATTGATGTGATTTATTATTTCTAATAGGATTATCTAAATAGATCTCAACTTGAGTTTCTTCAACAGTTGTAGTTGGTAAATTAGAGAAAAAGTGGGTGATAATATACTGTTTTTTGATTCCAAGTACAAGGTACCTAGAATAGGTAAATTACAAACTGAATATGCAATATGAATATGTACATATATGAATATACAAGAACGTAGAATTGTGGTTACCAGGGGGTTGAGAGAGAAGAAATCAAGAATTACAGTTTACTATTTGGGATCATGAAAATGTTCTGGAAACAGTGGTGATGGTTGCAGTAGACTGAATGTGCTTAATGCCACTGAAGTTGTGCACTTAAATATGGTTAAAATGGTAAATTTTATGTATCTTTTGCTACAATAAAAATTTAAGTAACAGTATCTTTTAACCATGTTTATAATTAATAATTCCAATTAATCGATGGATAATTTTTCTAACAGGAGTATACTTTAATGTGGTTAAGTATGTAAGAAAGTATTAATCCATCTAAGTTTTAGAGGGAAAAACTCAACATGTAATTTAAATGAGTCCACCTTTTCCAGGAGTAATTGAAATTTTTTAATTGTAAGAGTAATACATAAATGTCTGCTCGTTATGAGATATCTTTTTACATTTAAAAAGCACATAGAACATAAAAAGCCTCATTCTTACCCTCCCAATTCCATTTCCCCTCCATATGCATAAAACACTAACAAACTAGCAGACAGTATGAATAGAATAAAAGTTTGCTTCTAACATCAGTGACTGATTTTAAGCTGGCATCACTGGTGATTAAAACCTTTAATGGACAGTCAACTACCTTCAGCTTCTCTGTATTTTGCACAGACACTGCCACTGCATTAAAATAGTGGATTTTAAAATCCATTCAAAAAGAAAAGTACCTTCTCTCTTGTAGCCTCAAAGAGTAGTCTCCTCTTTTGTGATTTAGATAATAGACCAGAAAAAAGTACACTTACATTAATAATCATCTTTAAATATCACTTTAAAACTGTCTACTAAATTATTATCTCCAATCCCAACTTCTCACCTCAATTTTAGACTCAGACATTTAACTTCCAGCTCAACGTGACAACCTAAATGACCACAAAATTCTGAGTATTTGACATGTGCAAAACAGAACACTTGAGTCAATCTCCAAAACTCACTCCTCCTCCTCCTCCCCATCTTGGTAAACAGCAAGTCCACCACGCTTGGCCCAGGAAGCCCGGACTCATCCTCGACCCTGCTTCCTCTCACATCCACGGCCGACCCACAGCCAATACTCTGACCCCTGCCCCTTCCCCCTCTCCACTGCGCTCCCCCCACCCTGGTCTCCTGTGAACGCGCAGAACACACTCCCACTCAGATCGGTTCTCTCCCCGCTCCCTCTGGCCTCAGGGCTCCCCTCCCTGTGGTGGGCTCCCCAACCCTATTCACGTTTCTTTTCATTATGTTGTCCGAGAAGCTTTCTCTGGTGGCCCTAACCTACCCTATC